AGGATGAGGAGGAGGAGGAGGAGGAGGTGTCTGTGGAGCGGTTGAGGGCGGATTCCACCAGAGGCCGGAGCGAGGAGGACAGCCCTCAGATGCAGGGGGGCTGGGGTCGGTCGGGGCTGTCTGGGGGCAGGGGCACCAAGCCAAGCTCGGCGGCGGGCGAAGGCCTTCTCGAAGGCCTTCTCAGAAGGCGGCGGGACTTCTCAGAAGCCCTCGCGCCTTTGAGAAGTTTTCAGCGTCTTCTGGGAAGGCTACAACTTCTCAGAAGGCTGGGGGACTGTCGAGCCTTTTGAGAAGGCCCGCCCGTTCTCACTTCCCCCCCTCGTTCGTCGCCGACAAGCAGTACATCGAGCGTCGGGCAGCATCGGAATACCAGGGTCCATGTCGATCCGATCGATCCGATTCGATGTCGATTCGGGCGGGCCCGATCCGATCCGATTCCGATGTTCCGACGATCCGATGCGGCCTGATGCTCGCGTGGCGCTGGTGTGCATCCTGGCGTGGCCGATCCGATTCGATTTCGATTCCGTGCCGATGCTCCCCAATCCGATGCACATTTCGATTCCATCCGATTTGCCGATTCGATGCTGGCCGATCCTGCGTACATTTTAGGGGCTGGCCTCGATGAGAGCAGCCGTGGATGTCTCATTCTTTTCAATGCCCATTCCGCCGCACTGGCTGTCGGTAGCCACTTTGGGATCGATTCAGGACGGGCCGGACCAGTTGTCGTGCGTAATCATAGCTTTTCCAGCGTGTGCGTTCCTGTGGCATGGCGTACAAACGTTGCCACCCTTGCTCTTTTTATCCTGTTTCATTGATCGCAGTCATGTGTATGGCAGGCGAAAGACATGTGGAAGCATCACTTCAAGAAATGGAAATGGACAATGATACTGATATCAACGGCAGCATGCCTGAACTATTGAATGTACACATGGACCCTGAGGGGGATGATCCAACTGCGCTGGAGCAGGAGGACGTTGATAAGCTAGTATCCGAGACAGCCCGAATGTTTCAGAAATCTGTTCGGGAAGGAGACGTGCGCGTTGCGGCAAAGGTGTTGGAAGCTTTCCAGAGTTCGCCGCAGACCTTGCCAAAAATCGTGAACTGGCAGGATCGGGTCGGCGCCACCGTCTTTCACTGGTGCGCATTCTATGGCACTGCAAAGCACGTGGCCCTAGCGAGGAGCTTCCTGAAAATCCCGGGTGCGGATGCGACTCTCCCAGACAAGAGCAACCACACAGCCTGCCGCACTGCCTGCGTGAAGGGTCACGCCGAAATGGTGGGGGTCTTCCTCGAGGCCGACCCGGCCATCAGCTGCGATTCAGCATCGTTTGGCCGATTACCATCCTCATTGGCCCATGGCATCTCAGCCCCATCAGCCCGCGCCCTAGGTGGGGACAGGCCCCCGCGCAACCCGAAGGGAACAACATGTGTCTCCACCTAGGGGGATCGTTCGGCCAGTGGGGCCGAGGCCATGCCAGTGGGCTACGCGGAAAATCCTGCAGGCCTCGCGCGGCACGCAGTAGTTTCTGTTATCCAGTTCACACGTCGTCGCCGCAAGAGATGGGACGACGCTCGTGCGGCGATGATCCGACGCGAATCCGATCTGACGCCGGCGTGAATCTCGTCTCGAGTTGCCTCGTGCAGGATTTTCCTCGTAATCGGCGTCGCCCCAACCTATCAATACCATGTGTTTGTCGCCACCCAGTGGGCGACGCGCGCGCCGAGAAATCTTATCACACAAGCTTCGTGGCGCACGCTTTTTGGCCGTACGGGAAACGATACACTACAGGATGGTTGTATTAGATGGTCGGGTTGAGAGCACGCCTCCGAGGAGGGCGCAACGTATCAGTATGTGCTTCTGCATCCCATGGCAATCGGTGAAACGATGCTCAGCGATGCCCTGGAGCTGGACGCCGGCGACGGCATGAACTGTGCCCACCTTGCCGCGCGCCGGGGAGACGCAGCGATGCTCGCCGTGCTACGGCCCCACCTGGAGCTCCACGGCGCCGTCGACGCGCGCACAGGCGGCGACCAGCCCAGCACCGCCCTGTACCTGGCCTGGCGGCGCGCACGAGGGGGGTCCGAGGATGAAAAGGTGCCGCTACCGCTACCCTCGCCTATTTTCCCCTTTCGGGGCATCCTGGGCGACCCTCGTCGCCACCGCTGGACTCGCCTCGGAATTCTGGTCGGAGCGCACCCCAGGGGAGGTCCATAAGCAGCGCCACGTGAGGAACGAAGGACCTTCTCTGGCAACGGCGAGCCTCGGCCACGAACAGGTTCCCCGACCTGCGTCTGAGGAACGGCTCGAAAACCGGAGCCCCTCGTGAGCCCAAGGCTGTCCTTCAGTCAGCGCCTTGACTGCAGCGGTAAGGGCACCGTCCTGGCTTCCCCAGGGGGGGGTTCGCGAGGGGCGTGGGGGGCGCCTCCTGGACGGCGGGCGGCTGCCCTCCCGACCCCTCCCGGAGGCCCCGCCTCGAGGGAAGAAGGGCACCACTCTAATTACGCCTACATCGGAGGGTTCCGACTATGCGCCCGCACCGATCGGAGGGCACCAGCTGTGCGCCCACACCGATCGGAGGGAGGGGGGACCATGACCAGGATACGACACACCTGCACCGATCCTGGCCAGGCCGATCCTGGGCCCTGGATCGGTGTAAACGCCGTCCTGGCTTGGGCAGGAAGCCAGGCACACCGGTCCTTGGCCTGGGATGAGCCTGGCCAGGATCGGTGCAGGTGCATAGTTGGCGTCCTCCTGCAAGACGTCGCGGGTTTCGATCCATGCCGATCTTGGTCATGGTCCATGTCGGACGTCGCCGATCCATGAGGGCGGTCCACGAACTGATGCCGACCAAGATCGACGGTGGCCAAGAGCGGCACGACGTCGTTACGCCCAGTCTTGGTCTGGGCTCCCCCCCCTCGTCGTCGTCGTCGTCGTCGTCGTCGTCGTCGTCGTCGTCGTCGTCGTCGTCGTCGTCGTCGTCGTCGTCGTGGTCGTGGTCGTCGTCGTGGTCGTCGTCGTCGTCGTCGTCGTCGTGGTCGTGGTCGTCGTCGTCGTCGTCGTCGTCGTCGTGGTCGTCGTCGTGGTCGTGGTCGTCGTCGTCGTCGTCGACGTCGTGGTCGTCGTCGTCGCGCGCGCCCCTATCCGTTGCCCCTCCCTCGCGCGCGCCGCCCGCTGGCGGTGGACGCGGAGGCGCCAGCGGCGGTGCGGGTGCTGGTGGCGAGCGGGGCCTCGGGCAGGCTTCGGCCACGCACAGAGGGGGGTAGGAGGAGGGGTGAAGGCTGTTTAGAAGCACCTCTGCTTCTTAGAGGGCGCGGGCCTCATCTGTAGATGTAGGGCCAGCGCATTCTAAGAACCGTTCTCCTTCTAAGACGTCTTCCCCCCTCCCCCTAACCCCTTTATGCGCGCCGCCGAAGGCTGGGGCGGGCGTTGGGCGACGGGGAGGAGGAGAGCGCGGAGGAGCGCGCCAGGACTGCCAGCCTGCAGCATGTCCCAGACATGCTCGCGCCGTGAACAACATCAGGACGGGAGATTTATTGTTTTCGGCCTCTGGGGGCCCTCGCCGGGCCCCAGGACCATAAGAAAACAATTCAGGGTGAAACACCACTCGACTTCCAGGGACCCCGCACTGAAAACATCAGGACGTCGCATGTCGGGGTACCTATCCCCATGGTGGGCATCCTCTTATCTCGATGCCGATCCTAAATTTTGCTTCAGTTTCCGAGGACGCCGTTGCCACTCTTAGGGATAGGGACGAGTTCGAGGATGGTTTCAGTCAACCCGCATAGCAAGGATGAGCAACTCTTCAAGGCTACCCTTGCATCCTGGCCCCTTCGGCCCATCCTTGGCCGCTTCCGCTGGCCGCGCCCCGCCCGCAGAGGGTCGACATGGCCCTCCAAGGCCCTTGCATCCTTATCGTGCGTCCTTGCTCTGCTGGCTGACAGTATAGGAGGGGCCTCGAGGCCTACGGGGCCATCCTGGGCGCGCTGGGCGCGGGCGCGGAGGGACCCCGAGCCGCGGGCGGGGCTCCCGGGCGCTCGGACCTGTGATTGGCCAGGGAGCACAAGCGCATCGTGTCGGTCGTTGTGTTCTGCCTCTCCGCTCCATGTAACGGCCCTCCTCGTCGTCGTCGTCCTCCTCCTCCTCCTCCTCCTCGGCGTCGGCGTCGGCGTCGGCGTCGTTTTCGTTGATTCTACAGGCTTACGCCACATCCGCCGACCCCTTCTGTGAGTGTTGCGAGGCCAGGAGTTTCTGGCCTGCGGCGTCTTGTGTGAGGGTGCGGTGTCGCGCGCGGGTGGTGGCAGATACGTAAGGGGGGCCCAAATGTTTGCGTGATGCCGGTGGTCTGGGGCGTGTTTTGCGAGCGCCTTGCGTGCTGTGCACCCGGGTGCGGGGTGTCCTTCTGGGAGGTCGGCCTTTCGACCCGCAACCAAGTGGAGGACCACTGGAAAACGAAAGGAACAAGAATAGTGTGCGGAAGCTGTGATCAGCGAGGCATCACCGCGAAAGATGTGGCAGATGAGTCGAAACGGGTGAATAGTTTGTTGACGTTCGCAGCGCGCGCGAAACAGTTTGCCAAAAACAGCACACTAGCGCCGAGCAAGATAGTGAGCGCGTCGCGAGGAAGAGTAAGGCTGTTATGCGCGGAGTGCATTGCAGTTGGCTTGACGGCTCACACTACGGAAGCGTCTGGGGGTGTTTTGGGGCAAGGGGTCGGTGGATGACGGGAAGCGCGCCAAGACTCGAAGAGTCGCGCGATGGAAGTCTGTTTGCCCAGAGGGATTTATTCATCAGTGGGAGGTCTGGAGGGGGAACGTGCGGCGCCGCCTCGTTGTCCAGAGCCTGTCGGATTCCCCAAACGAGCGTTTCGCTCGAGACATCTTCACAACATCGTGAAGTGGGGGGTCGTATCTTAAGACGTCGTTTGCTAAAAATGGGCGCTTCGCTCGGGACATCCTCAAAATCTCGGGATGTCGAAATCGACGCCCTAATTCTCGGTTCCTCGAGAATGGACGTCTCGCCCGAGACATCTTCGATAAAATGGGATGCCGACACAGCTCTTGTAAGGCATTTTTTCGGAACGATCTCGGATGACTTCCAAGATGGCCCAAGAAACGAACATATTGAAAAACCCATTTGCTTTTAACATTTACGTTGAAAAATCAGCGTTTCACTCGAGACATCGCTTACAAAATGCCCTCGAACGGGCCAAAACGAGCGTTTCGCCTGAGACGTCCTCGCCAAATCGTGAAGTTGGGGGTCGTGTCTTAAGACGTCTTATGCTAAAAATGAGCGTTTCGCCTGAGACATCCTCAAACCATCGGGATATTGAAATCGCTGGCCTACTTTTCGGAACTTCAAAAAACGGCCGTCTCGCCTGAGACATCCTCGGAACAATGGGATGTCGAAAGAGCTGCTATGAGACATATTTTCGGGGTGTTTTTGGATAGCCTTGTATATGATACTTGGCCCTTGTACATGATACTGGTGGTCCTTGTATATGATATTTCCTCTATCGGAGGTGATGGGGGTGAGATCGAAGTGGAACGGCGAGCCCCCCTACCGGGAAATCGATTTCGGTTTCGTGTACGTGCGTGCCGTGCGGGCGAGGCGAAGCTGCGTGGGCGGGCGAGAGGAAAGTCTCCTGTGGCTGAGGCGCGGCCGGACCAAATGATTCTCCGCCGGGCGGCCGGTGGCGCGCGGTGTCCCGCCGGTGTCCCGCTGGTGTCCCGTGTGGCTGAGGCGCGGCCGGACCAAATGATTCCCTTCCGGGCGGCCGGGGCGCCCGCGGTGTCCCGCCGGTGTCCCGCGGTGTCCCGCGGTGTCCCGCGGTGTCCCGCGGTGCCCGCCGGTGTCCCGCGGTGTCCCGCGAGGATGATGATGATGAGATGATGATGATGATGATGATGATGATGATGATGATGATGATGATGATGATGATGATGATGATGATGATGATGATGATGAGATGATGATGATGGTGTCCCGATGAAGATGATGATGTTGATGATGGTGTCGATGATGATGATAGTGTCCCGATGATGAGGATGATGATGCTCATGATGATTATGTTGATGATGATGACGATGATGGTGTCCCGATGATGATGATGATGATGATGATGATGATGATGCTGATTCCGATGATGATGATGATGTTGATGGAAATGGTGTCCCGGCGATAATGATGTTGATGATGATGATGTTGATGATGATTGTGGTGTCCCGATGATGATGCTGATGATGGTGATGATGATGATGGTGATGCTGATGGTGTCCCGATGATGATAATAATGAGAATGACGATGTTGATGATGATGTTGTTCATGATGATGATGGTGTCCCGATGATGATGATGCTGTTGATGATGGTGGTGATGATGTCGATGATGATGATGCGATGATCATGATGATGATGATGGTGTCCCGAGGATGATGACGATGTTGATGTAATGTTGATGATGAGAACGATGGTGATCATGATGGTGTCCCGATTATGATGATGATTCCGATGATGCTGCTGATGATGATGACGATGACTGTGTCCCGATGATGATGATGATGATGATGATGATGATGATGATGATGATGATGATGATGATGATGATGATGATGATGAGATGATGATGATGATGATGATGATGATGATGATGATGATGATGATGATGATGTTGTCCCGATATGATGCTGACGTTGATGATGATGATGATGATGATGATGATGATGTTGATGATGATGATGATGATGATGACGGTGCCCTCATGATGATGACGATGTTGGTGATGATGTTGATGTTGATGATGTTGATGATGTTGTTGTTGTTGATGATTATGATGCTGACGTTGATGATGATGTTGATGATGATGATGCTGATGATGATGATGATGATGACGGTGCCCTCATGATGATGACGATGTTGGTGATGATGTTGATGTTGATGATGTTGATGATGTGATGTTGATGTTGATGATGATGATGATGATGATGATGATGATGATGATGATGATGATGATGATGACGTTGATTGTGAGAGCGATTGTGATATCGATAGTGAGATCGATATTGAGACCGAATGTGAGATCGATTGTGTGATCGATTGTGAGATCGATTGTGAGATCAATTGTTAGATCGATCGAATGAGATAGATCGAGTGAGATCGATTGTGAGATCGATCGAGTGAGATCGATCGAGCGAGACCGATAGTGAGATCGATACTGAGATCGATAGTGAGACCGATCGAGTGAGACGTTGGTTCCCCCCCCCCCGAACCTCCATATCACCCGAAGGGTGGTCGTAAAGGTATTAAATTCTTGTATATGATCGCCCTTGTCTATGCCATTCCTTGTATATGATGTCTCTTGGCAGGGCTGTACGAGGCCTCTTGGGGCGTGTTGGAGGCCTTTTGGGCTGTCTGAAGGCCATCTTGGGCCGCCTTGGAGCGATTCTGGGCTATCTTGGTGGCCTGGGTGGGCTTCCTGGGCCGTCATTGAAGCCCTGGACAATCCCAGAGATACGCTATGGCCGCCCAGGGACCCCCGGGAGTAGGGGCGGTGCAGTTGCCTATATGCGAGACGGCGGGTGGGCGGCTCCTTAGTTGTATATGATCTTGTTTGAATATGGCCCTCGTTGTATATGATCTTCCTCGTGTACGATGGTCCTTGTATATGATACTTTCTCTAGATTAAGTTCTTGTATATGATCGTATTGTGAGGCTCTGTTGGGCCGTCGTGAGGGCCGTCTGCTCCTCACGTTCCTCCATCTCCTTCGCCCCCTCCTACTCGAACACATCAGATAAGTAAACGCTTCGCTCGAGACATCCCCCTTGCAAATGCTTTTGAGGAGGTCTTCTAAAACGTACCAGAGCCTCTTCCTCCTGTGTGTGTGTGTGTGTGTGCGTGTGTGTGTGTGCCTTCGGACGGGCCTTCGAACACATCAGATAAGTGAGGGATAGACGGACGACAGTGGAAGCGTACAGAGAAGTGAGGAGGATAATCAGGACTCTCCTTGTGGACGTTCGGGGAGCGCGTGTCCGTAGGTATCCCCTGTGGACGTTAGGAGAGCTCGCCTACATGACATTTTATCGTGATGATGCTGCACGTTCTTGCGCAGCTCTGTCCTTTCACGCGCTTCCCGTTCATGTCAGGACAAGTTTTTGGCACGCGGGGAGCCCTTCCGTCGCCACGGCTGGACGCAGCGGAGGAGGAGGTGTCCGGGGAGCGGTTCAGGGCGGATTCTGCCAGGGGCGGGAGCGAGGAGAGCAGCCCTCCGAGGGCCTGGGGGCCTGGGGTCGGTCAGAGCCGTCGGGGGGCGGGGGCGCCAAGCCAAGCCCAGGGGCGGGCCCCTGTCGTGGCCAGGGCTCCCCCCAGCTGTGGCTGGCCGGCCTCGTCCTCGCCCGCTCGTCCCCTCCCTGCCCTGCCCCTCCTCCTCTTGCTCCTTGCTCATCGGCGGCGAGCGAGGGGGGCAGTGAGAGGGGGACGGCCTTCTCAGAAGCCCACCTCGGGGAAGGCCTAGAAAACTTCTCAGAAGGCCGGGGGACTTCTGAGCCTTCTGAGAAGGCCTCCTCCTTTTCGCTTCCCCCCCTCGCTCGCCGCCGAACCTCCCCAACCATGCGTTCCGGATCCCGCGGAGTGCGCAGCACGATGCACGAGAGGGGCGGAGCAAGGACCGAGCGGGCCACCCGCCCTCCGGCAGCGGGCCCGGCACGGGCTCTCAGGCCATCGGCCAGGCCGACGGCCCCGCGGGCCGCGGCAGCCGCGGGCGTCCACCACGCTGGCGGACGGGGCCGGCAAGCCGCCGACCTCCCGGACCTCGAGGCCGCGAGGCAGCACGGCGCCTCGCCTGGGCTGTGCCTCGCGCAGCGCCTGTGGCCACCAGGCCCCCCACGGTGGGCGTCCAGCCGCCAGCAGCAGGGGAGGGTGCAGAAAGCTGGTGGCCACTGGGGTGAGGGCACCACCCCCCATTGCTGCGGCACCGAAGCCGATCCGGGACGACAGGGCACCCCGATGGGCAAAGATGTGGACGGCGCCTTCGCCTCGCAGCCAACAACACACCCGTGCAAGTCGGCTTGGGTGGCTCTCGGAGGGGACGCCAAATTCTGGACCAATTCAAGATTCCAGAAACTCGCAGCCTCTTGCTTCCACGGCGTATCTGCAGCATGGATAAGCACAGCACTCGATCCCGAGCGATGGGCAGCAGCCATAACAGCAGCAGCTCATCTGACCAAGAGGTTCTCCTTTGCCAACCTCTCTGCAGCCCTGGGCGCCAGACGTGGGACGCCCCACGGGTGCTCAGTTGACCTCAGCGCTGGTAGGGACGAATCTGCTGCTGGCAGCATCCACGACCGCTTGTCGGGCGCTATAGCCACCGCAATCATATGCCTGTCGAAAATCAGGTCCGTCCACCGCTGCACCTTCAAAGGATCCACCAGAGCTTTAGAAAACCATTACTCGAAAAATCCAACTGCAGCAAGGTCAGAGTAACACGATTCATGAACTGGCCAAAGGCGGAAGCGATGTTGTCCGACGTTCTCGGATCCATGGGCACGAGCAAAACATATGCCATCAGAGATGATGGCCCTTGGGGCAATATCTGCAATTGATCTCCCGCGATTCGGCACAGACGTAGTAGTGTCAGGCGGCGGCAGTCGCAGGTCCAATCCCCTGGGGAAGCGCAACTCTCTTCCAGGCACCGCGGCATCCAGAGCAGCGTCGGCATCATACCCCTCAGCGGCACGCTCATGGCCACGAGCAAGGTCCTGCTCACGCAGGTCCCCTGCCTCAGCCTCGTCCAGCGGGCCTTCGGTATCCAGCAGCATCTGCAACCAACCCGAGCCAGGACGGCGCAAGTGCTTGCTGAGGCCAGGGCGCAAGTGCATGCCTGGTACTGCGAGCCACGCGCGTAGAGCTGAGCCAGGTCCGAGGCCTCCTGCTCCTGCTGCTCCTCCTGCTGCTCCTGCTGCTGCTGCTGCTGGTCCTCCTTCTGCTCCTTCTTCATCTTTTTCGTCGTTAATATTAGCCAACGTGGACGTGGTGATTTTCATGCTGTGCAATCTATGTGGTGCAATCTATGTGCTGCAACTCACTTGTGGAACTCGCAGTTGTCAACTCCACTGCTCGCGCAATCATCCCACCCACTCCTGCAACTTGTTTTGCTGAACCCATGCTGCGGCTGTGCTAGCCCGCGCAAGCTCGCGCGCGCAGCAGCCAGCTAGCGCGGCGCGACCGACGCGGCCCGTTTGGTATCATTTCGTGGACAAGTTGAACAACCTATGGTTTTGTTAAGAATCTGCAGGAGCGCCGGCGCAAGTTTTCTTTTGTTTTAGAACATCCGTGTTGCGAGAACATCATTTTTTGTAATGATTTCGTGGCGCGATTTTGAAGTCCTTACGACAACTAAGGTTTTTGAAGGATTTCGGCACACGCGCGCGACGACGCGCGCGTGTGCAATTCGTCCCATTTCTTGCAGGGGATCTATGAAAACTCCCGATTTGTAATAATCGAATGTGGGCGTATAGTTCTTTGCCGGAGGGTGAGGGGGGTGTCGATGCCGTCCTTGTTGGGATGGTATGGATTCATATTTAGGATTGGCGATGGGGCAAACTCATACGTACATTGTAATACGAGAAGGGGGCGTTTAAATCCAGGGGGAGGTATCTATTAGTATTCTGTTAGAATGGAGCATCTCGGCGGTGCAATCTGCGTGGTGCCATTAAGTACGAAGGAACACGCACAGTTGACAGCTCCACTCCTAGTGCAATCGTCCCATACCCATCCGCAACTTGGTTTGCGAAACCCATGCGGCGGCGATTGCGATGAGTGCATATTGCTGGCTGGTGCATCTCTGCGGCCGAGCTGCCCCGCGCTTGCTCGCGCGCACGGCGGCCAGTTAGCTTGGCGCGACCGACGCGACCGCGGTGGCGTTGACCGTTGGGCACTTCCCAGCGCGTCTCGCAGGCCGCGCTGACGCGCGGGCACTGCCCTGCGAATTGGTGACTCAGGTGGGCGCGGTATCGTGGCGACGTCGACACTTGTAGACAAGATGAGGATAGTAGCGATGATGGTGACGATTGTGACGATAACGGCAAGGCCAATGACGGTGCCGATGCTGACCACGCCGGTGACGACGATGGTGTTTTCGACTCGGTGAGTAAGGTTTTGGAGGGATTTCGACATGCGCGCGCGGCTGACGCGCGCGAGTGGCCCGCGTGATGTGATTTGACAGGGATCGTGCCCCCCAGCACGGGCGCATGGGCGTTCGAATGATTTCGACGCGCGCGGGCGAGGCCCGTGTGTTCGGAATTTCATGACAATGTTAGAACACCGATGGTTTTCTTCAGAATTGGCAAACGCGCGCCCGCATTTCCCTTTTTTTTATCGAAAACTGATGTTGCAAAGTCATGCTGCATATCAATTTGTGCTTTTTCAGGATTCCCCTGGTGAGTCTTCACGAAGCGCAAGGTTTTTTGACGGATCTCGGGATCCGTGCGACGACGCGCGCGCGCGTGTGCATTTCGTCCCGTTTTTTGGCCAGGGACTTTTGGAAACTTGTGATTTTTGCGAAGCGAATGCGCGCGCATATTTTGTTGCATCGGATTGCGGGGGGTCGATACTGGTTGGGCAGGGGTGGTACACGGTTATATTTGGGTTGGACGATGGGGCAGAAGCATGTGCAAATTGAAATCGAAAAAAGGCAAGCGGATAATCCTGGGGGGGATGGTCGATTTTTTCTTTCAGGACTAATCTATGTCCGGCGGCGACGGCGAACGGAGCGCCAAACCGACAATTACGCCCAGACGGCGGGCGGCAACAAGGCGGCGACGGGGCGACGACGGCGACAACATAGGCGCCAAACCGACAACCAGGCGCAGGCGACGGGCGGCAACAAGGCGGCGACGGGGCGGCGACGGCGACAATATTGATGCCAAGCCGAGATTCAGGCCGAGCTCTTTAGAAAAGGAGAAACTGTGAGTTTAATCGCTGTTTAGATTATAATTCCTACCTGTCGCACCCCCAGACGTGTCAGTAGGGGGGCCGGGCGTTTAGTTTCATCTTTGCTGGCAGTTTATGATCGTGAAGTTTGAAATCTGCAGCCGTTTCAAGGATGGAAGGCGGGTTCCTTCTCAACATGTGGCTTTCGCTTTGGCGCTGCGCGCATTCGCTAGAGTTTTACAACTTCATGGACGGAGGGTGGGTTGCTTTGAAAATGTGGGCGTCGCCTCAGCGCGCAACACATTCGTCTTAACAAATTACAGCATTTTCAAGGATGGATGGCGGGCCCTTTTCAACATGTTGCTCTCGCCTTAGCGCCGCGCGCATTCGACCAAAAAATTAGCAAACGCTTCAAGCATGAAGGGCGGGTGGTTTTCAGAATGTTGCTCTCGCGTTCGCGCCGCGCGCGTTCGTTTATTCAACTTTTGCAACAGCTTCAACGATGGTGGGCGGGCTCTTTTTACCGTATGGCTCTTTTATAGGCGCCGCGCATATTCGCGATATTCGTTTGCAACAACTTGATGGACGGAGGGTGGGTGGTTTTCGAAAAGTGTCTCTCGCTTGAGCTCCGCGCATATTTGCTATAGTAGTTTGCAACAATTTGATGGATGGAGGGTGGATGGTTTTCACAAGATGGCTTTCGCCCTAGCGCCGCGCGCATTCGTCATAAGAATGATGGAAGGCGGCTCCTTTTCAACATGTTGCTCTCGGCTTTGCGCCGCGCGCATTCGTCCTAGAAGTTGTAGCCGTTTCCAGGACTCGTATGGTTGAAGTCCCAGGCATGGTGCTGGCACGGGTTAGGATTGCCAGGACGCAGCAGTCAAGTGGATTTTCGCTGCTGAAGTACCAGGATGATACATATATATAGATATCATCACGGTGAAGATTATCAGACGGTTGTCTTTAATGGGGCATATCCTGCTATCGAAATACATCTTTGCACGGACCTGTTTGATGCGTCTTGGGTTTACACTGGTCCTTCTTCTCCGCATCCTTCCCGTCTGCTTCCCGCCCCATCGCCGCCGTTCCTGCACCGACCGTGGCCCCGGTCTCGGCGCAGGCGCCCGCGGCTGCCTCTGCTCCCCCGCTTCGGCCCGCCCTTTCCGCCCCTCCTGTTCATCGCTGCCCTTTCTCTCTCTCTCTCTCTTGCTCTCTCTCTTACTTCGCATCCTCCTCCTCCTCCTCCTCCTCCACCTCCTCCTCCTCCTCCTCCCCGTCGTCGTCGTCGTCGTCGGTCTCGGTCGTCGTCGTCGTCGTCGTCGTCGTCGTCGTCGGCGTCGCCGTCGCCGTCGCCGTCGCCGTCGCCGTCGCCGTCGTGGTCATCATCATCATCATCATCATCATCATCATCATCATCATCATCATCATCATCATCATCATCATCATCATCATCATCATCATCATCATCATCATCATCATCATCATCATCATCATCATCATCATCATCATCATCATCATAATCATAATCATAATCATAATCATAATCATAATCATAATCATAATCATAATCATAATCATAATCATAATCATAATCATAATCATAATCATATCATCATCATCATTATGAATATTTTCAGCAGCAGCAGCACTAGCTCTCTCTCTCTCTCGATCTTTCTCTGGCGGGCGGTCGGCTGCCTCTAACATCCGCCGCAGGCGTACGGGGCACTGCAGGGCTGGGCGCCGAGCGAGGCCTCACCGCGCGCGCGCGTGGGCCGTCGGCCGGCAGGGCGAGGCGGCGACGGGGCTTCCCCAGTGGCTTCCTTTGAAGGCGCTCAGGTGTTGTGCCTTTTGGTAAATATCCACATGATGACTGATGGTGCGTGATCTTGCGTGCAAGTTATCAGTTACTGATGACGATATTCATTGTTGGTTGTCAGAACATGCCGATGTAATCTTGCGCTGGCTTCAATACTGATAAATGGCTCAAGATCCATTTTAGTTGGGTGTCGATATGTATTGGTAGCAGGCGGCCGGCTATATCGGAAAGAGCGTGTTCTACCGCTGCTGGCGGAAAAGCGGGGGGGGTCACTACCGGTTCAAACCCCTCCCCCCCCCCTTCGGAAAACCGGGGGGGTTCGAACCCCTCCCCCCCCCCCTCAGTTCGTCATGAAAAGGGGGGGGGGGGTACTACCGGTTCGAACCCCCCCCCCCCCCCCCCCCCTCCAAAAACCGGGGGGGTCACTACCGGTTCGAACCCGCCCCCACCCCCCCCCCCCCCCCTCGAAAACCGAGGGGGGGTGCGGACAGTGGTGGGGACGGTGGTGCAGTGGTTGGGGCCGTGGAGAAAGTGGAGAGAGTGGAACCGTGGTGGGAACAGTGGGGGGGACAGTGGGGACAGTGCGACAGTGGTGGGGGGCACTGGTGGGGACAGTAGGGACGGTGGTGGAGCCAGTGGGGACAGTGGTGGTGAGGACAGTGGTGCTGGGAACAACAGTGGGGGATGTGGTGCGGACGGTGGTAGGGACCGGGAGTCGTTTGCTGGCGGTGAGTGGGGGGGGTGGGGAGGAATTCGAGCGGTAGTGACCCCCCCCGGTTTTCGAGGGGGGGGGGGGGGTTCGAACCGGTAGTGACCCCCCTCGGTTTTTCGAGGGGGGGGAGGGGAGGGTTTTGCCGGGGGAAGGGGGGGGGGAGGGAGGGGTTCCAGCAGGGTGGGGGGGGGGATTTTCGGAGGGGGGGGGGGACCCCCGGGTTCGGGAGGAAGAGGGCGGCAATTTTCCATACGAAAGCGGCGGTGGATCACGCTCCTTCCAATATCGGGATGGTATTGTGACCGTGGAAGGAGAGAAATTGGGGGGTGCACAAGACAGCGTTTCGCTTGAGACGTCCCCACGATCTGGGCGCGAACGGGCAAGTGTGGCACCCCTTGGCGGCCCCCCCTCGGGGTGCCCAAGGGTTTTGATTGCTACATTGCGGTGATCATGGGACCCTGGAAGTAGAAGAGTCGGGGTGCCCAGACCAGCGTTTTTCGCTCGAGATATCCAATCTGGCCGCGAACGAAGAAATTAAATACCCCTTTGCACCCCTTTGCAGCTCTTTGCTGTATCCAGCTGCTATGCGTGCGCTATCGCGATGATCATGAGGCTCTCGTAACAGTGGTAGCACTTGTCGCAGTAGTAGTTCTTGTAGTGGAAGGAGGGGGCAGGCGGACGTGGAGGAGGAGGAAGGATGACGACGAAGACTGTGCGGTTGAGGGACACCGTGTGCAGGAGGAGTGATGGAGCGCCGAAAGGAGGACAGCAACAACGACGTCGAGGACGATGAACACGAGGGTTTTGCTCTCTCTTCCCGTCCTCGCCGTCGTCGTCGTCCTCCGCTTTTTTTCTTGCTCTTTCCTTGACGGCGGCGAAGCAAGAGACGGCGACGCCGACGCTGACGACGTCGACGACGGCGCCGCCGCCGCCGACGCCGCCGACGTCGACGACACCCGCCGCCACCGCGAGGCCGAGCTCCGCCAGATCTGCGAGCGGGTGCTGCGCGGCGCTGGCGCCGCCGGCTCGACCGAGGAGGCCCCCGGGCTGGCCTGCCTTGGCGGCTTGTCGCCGACGCCGTTGGCATGTCGGCCTCGCGCCGCCGGCGGCGCAAGCGCTGGCGTCGTCGCTCTTTCTGTGATGTCTGCGCTCGTAGCTCGCCGCTGCCGCCGCCGCCGCCGCCGCCGCCGCCGCCGCCGTCGTCGTCGTCGTCGTCGTCGTCGTCGTCGTCGTCGTCGTCGTCGTCGTCGTCGTCGTCGTCGTCGTCGTCGTCGTCGTGGCCGTCCTCGTCGAGGAGCGGCAGGCCAGGAAGGAAGGGTGATGACGGAGATGACGAGGAGGAGGAGGAGAAGGAGGAGGGGGAGGAGGAGGAGGAGGAGGAGGTGGACCAGTGGAATCCCAAGAGTCATCAACGATGTTGGAATTAACCCTCCCTCCCCCCCCCCTTCGTAGGTCCCTACAACGGGTTATCGCCATTGTGGGAACCACCTTGTTGGAAGACAATAAGTTGAAGATCCTGAAGCGTGCCAAAACATTGTTCTCGGGATTTCAACGCCACGTATCAACCTGACTGCTGCGCCTTGACGATTCAGAATCGTGCCAGAGCGCCATTTGTGGACTTCAACACAGCGAATTAACAATTGTTGCGCCCGCATAAATATGAATCCTTCCAAAACGCCATTTCTGGTACTTTGATCATGGGAATCCGTGAAACTCTTGCAAATTTGTGTATCCAATGTGCGCGGCGCGAAGGCGAGAGCCACATTTTGAAACCGGCCCGCCCTTAATCCGTGAAACTCTTGTACATTTAAAAGCGAATGTGCGCGGCGCTAAAGTGAGAGTCACATTGTGAAAAGGAACCGCCCTCAATCCGTGAAGCCCGTGCACATTTTTGAAACCAATGTGCTCGGCGCTAAGGCGAGAGCCACACTTTGAAAAGGAACCGCGCTCAATCCGTGAAGCTCTTGCACATTTTTGAAACCAATGTTCGCGGCGCTAAGGCGAGAGCCACATTTTGAAAACGACCCGCCCTCAATCCGACCCGCCCTCCATTTGTGAAACTGTTGCCACTTTTTGAACTTCAGAGTCATAAGCGCTATGGAAGTCTCAGGCGAAACGCCCGGCCCGCCCAAAACACTTGCATCGGGGTGCAACAGGCAGGAGTTATCCATAAGGAGAAGGAGTGGATGAGGAGGAGGAAAAGGAGGAGGAGGAGGAGGATGAGGAGGAGGAGGAGGAAGAGGAGGAGGAGGATCTGGAGGAGGAGGAGGAGGCGGAGGCGGAGGCGGAGGCGAAGGAGGAGGCGGAGGAGGAGGAGGAGGAGGAGGAGGGGGAGGAGGAGGAGGTGCAGGAGGAGGAGGAGGAGGAGGAATAGGAGGAGGAGGAGAAGGAGGAGGAGGAGGAGGAGGAAGCATTTGGCAACTGGTGAGTCCTCCGCTCTACGACGGGGGCTCGTCTCGCATGCCTGGCGAACGAACTCGATCGCTGCTGGCGGCATTATCGGCATAGCAGGGGTCAGACTACGGGTCCCTGGCTTATTTTAGCCTTACGGGCCCGCTGCAGCTCGGCGCCGAGCCCCAAACAAACAACATCATTATGGAACATATGGAGGATCATGGCACTATGGTCCATCACCGCCAACTCTGGAAAACGGTCACACAACTGTTTGCCAAACACCGTCTACTGAGTTTAGCAGTCAACATTCCTGCGGTGGATTGCAGTTGCTTGCTTCGTTGCGAGGTCGAGGAGGAGGAGCGACGGAGGATGAGAGCAAATGAGAACCGGCAGTACCCCTCATCCTACACTCTTGGCCGTCGACGTCAATGATCCAGTCGAGATCGTCAGTCCTGCCTGCCCACCACGCCTGCGTCCTCCCACTGTTGGATCGCGTTGTCAATGATGTCCAGGCCCCATTCTACCAGATCGGCGTACGGCGTCGCCGTCCCCGCCCGCGCCATGAACATGTATCATATCGATGTACTGGTACTTCTCCATTATGGTGGGGTTGACGATACCCTCCTGCTCCGCCTGCTTGTCCTCGAACGCATTCTCCTCAGACAGCTGGTCGAGCCCGTCACTAGGAGCCTGAGTCGCCTTCTCGATCTTCACCTTCCCCCGTCCTCGGGCGTTCCCTCGAGCGTATCCCCTCCATTGGTGTCGGTGCCCTCCAGCTCCTTCCGCGTACCCTCGAACCCAGCCTTGAGGGGCAGCTGGTTCATGAAGGGCCCGTCGAAAGTGTCCTGGTCCGCATTTCCTAACATCGTGTCGTCTACGTCCTCTGACATCTCCTCCTGCAGGGTGTTTCGCATGCTGGAGCAGCAGTTCACCAGGCTGCACATGCGGTCGATCCCCACTGCACTAGCCAGGTGACGTCGTAGCCGATTCGCGCGGCGGCGTGCCTCTGAGCGGCCCGGTGAGGGGTGCCACAGCCCCGGCGGGGTGGGCACGCGCACCGCGCGGACGCATGTTGCTGGCCCGCATCCAAAAGAAGATGCAACTACTGTTTCGAACATGTGAGTGCAAGGTGTGTGTGTGTGTGTGTGTGTGTGCTGTCTGCTGCTGTCGCCCGAGTGGTGCCGTTTCCGCTGCTCTGCCCTAACTGCCTGCGCGCAGAGATGTGGTGTGCGGGGCTGGCGTCGGGTGGAGCTCGCGGGCGTTTGTGCCTGGGCGGCTCCTGGAGGAGGATGAGGAGGAGGAGGAGGAGGAGGAGGAGGAGGAGGAGGAGGAGGAGGAGGAGGTGGACGAGGAGAAGGAGGAGGCGGAGGAGGAGGAGGAGAGGAGGAGGAGGAGGGACGAGGAGGAGGCGGACCAGGAGGAGGATGAGGAGGAGGAGGAAGAGGGGGAGGAGGAGGAGGAGGAGGAGGAGGAGGAGGAGGAGGAGGAGGAGGAGGAGGAGGAGGAGGAGGAGGAGATGGAGGAGCAGGAGGAGGAGGAGGAGGAGGAGGAGGAGGGAGGAGGAGGTGGAGGAAGAGGTGGAGGAGGAGGAGGAGGAGGATGAGGAAGAGGAGGTGGTGGATGAGGAGGAGGAGAAGGAGGAGGAGGAGGACGAGGAGGAGGAGGCGGAGGAGGAGAAGGAGGCGGAGGAGGAGGAGATGGAGGAGGAACATGAGGAGGAGGAGGAGGAGGAGGATAGGAGAGGAGGTGGAGGAGGAGGAGGAGGAGGAGGAGGAGGATGAGGAAGAGGAGGTGGTGGAGGAGGAGAAGGAGGACGAGGAGGAGGAGGCGGAGGCGGAGGAGGGAGAGGAGGAGGAGGCGAGGGAGGAGGAGGAGATGAGGAGGAGGAGGAGGGGAAAAGGAGGAGGAGGAGGAGGAGGATAGGAAGAGGAGGTGGATGAGAGGAGTATGAGGAGGAGGTGGTGGAGGAGGATGAGTAGAAGGATGATGAGGAGGAGGAGGACAAGGAGGAGAAGGATGAGGAGGCGGAGGAAGAGGAGGCGGGGATGATGATGATGATGAGGAGGAGGAGGAGGAGGGTGGAGGAGGAACAGGAGGAGGAGGAGGAGAATAGGGAAGAGGAGGTGGAGGTGGAGGACGAGGAAGAGGATGAGGAAGAGGAGGTGGTGGAGGAGGAGGATGAGAAGAAGGAGGAGGAGGATGAGGACGAGGAGTTGGAGGAGGAGGCGGAGGCGGAGGAGGACGAGGTGGATGAGGAGGAGGAGGAGGTGCAGGAGGAAAAGGAGGAGGAGAATAGGAAGAGGAGGTGGAGGAAGAGGAGGATGAGGAAGAGGAGTTGGTGGAGGAGGAGGATGAGGTGGAGGAGGAGGAGAAGGAGGAGGACGAGGAGGAGGCGGAGGAGGAGGAGGAGGAGGAGGAGGAGGTGGAGGTGGAAAAGGATGAGGAAGATGGGAAGAGCAGGAGGATGAGGAGGAAAAGGAGGTGGTGGATGAGGAGGAGGAGGAGGATGAGGAGGGGGAGGAGGAGGATGAGGAGGAGGAGGAGGATGAGGTGGAGGAGGACCAGGAGGAGGCGGAGGATGAGGATGAGGAGGAGGAGGAGGAGGAGGAGGAGGAGGAGGAGGAGGAGGATGAGGCGACGGCGGTGACGACGGCGGCGGCGACGGCGGCGAAATGACGACGACGGCGGCGAAGACGACGACGAACACGACGACGACGATGACGGTGGCGGCGTCGACGACGACGACGACGACGTCGACGACGACGGCTGCGAAGACGAAGACGCTGACGGCGGCGGCGGCGACGACGACGACGACGGCGAAGCCACCTGAAGCGGCGGCGGCGGCGATGACGACGACTTGTCCGACGACGACAACGGCGGTGTCGACGAAGCTGACAACGAGGGCGGCAACGACGACGACGGCGACGACAACGATGGCGACGGTAGCGGCGGCGACGACAGCGATGATGACGTCGTTGTTCACGACGGCGACGGCGGCGGCGACGACGACGACGAAGACGGCGACGACAGCGTTGACGACGACGGTAATGGCGTCGACGACGACGACGTCGACGACGACGACAACCATCACAATGGCGACGGCGGTGGCGGCGACGACGACGACGACGAACACGACGACGACGACGTTGATGACGGTGGCAGCGACGACGACGATGACGACGACTGCGTTGGAAGCGGCGGCGGCGACCACGACGACGACGACGACGTGATCGTCGTCGACGATGGCGTCATTGGCGACGACGGCGATGATGGTGGCGGCGGCGACGACGACAGCGACGGCGTCGGCGATGCTGGCGATGCCGTCGATGACGTCGACGACGACGACGACGTCTTCGACGACGACGTATAACGTTCTCGACGACGGTGGCGGCGGCGGCGACGATGACGACGACGACGAGACGACGGCGGCAACGACGACTACGAGCACGACGACGACGACGACGACGGCGGCGGCGGCGACGATGGCGACGACGACGGCGGCAGATTCGACGACGACGACGGCAACGGCGACTGCGGCAGCAGACGATGACACCGACGACGACGACGGCGTCGTCGACGACGACGTACGACGACGACGGCCACGGCGACGGCGGCGACGGCGATGGCGACGGCGATGGCGACGGCGACGGCGGCGACGACGACGACGAGACGACAGCGGCGACGACGACGACGACGACGACGACGACGGGCTGGACTGCTGCACCAGACGATGACACGACGACGACGACGGCGTCGTCGACGACGACGTCGACGACGACGGCCACGGCGACGGCGGCGACGGCGACGGCGACGGCGACGGCGACGACGACGGCGACGGCGACGGCGACGGTGTCGACGACGATGACGACGACGAAACGACAGCGGCAACGACAACTACGAACGCGACGACGACGACGACGGCGGTGGCGGCGCGACGACGGTGACGATGGCGGTGGCGACGACGATGGCGACGACGACGACGGCGGCGGCGACTGCGACGACGACGACTGCGACTGCGGCAGCAGACGATGACACCGACGACGACGACGGCGTCGTCGACGACGACGTACGACGACGACGGCCACGGCGACGGCGGCGACGGCGATGGCGACGGCGATGGCGACGGCGACGGTGACGGCGACGACGACGACGGCGGCAACGACGAGACGACGGCGGCAACGACGACGACGACGACAACCATGACGATGGCGACGGCGGTGGCGGCGACGACGACGACGAACACGACGACTACGACGTTGATGACGGCGGCAGCGACGACGACGATGACGACGACTGCGTTGGAGGCGGCGGCGACCACGACGACGATGACGACGTGAGCGTCGTCGACGACGGCGTCATTGGCGACGACGCCGATGATGGTGCTGGCGGCGACGACGACGGCGACGGCGTCGGCGGCGCCGACGATGACGACGATGTCGACGTCTTCGACGACGACGTACAACGGCATCGACGACGGCGGCGGCGGCGGCGGCGACGACGACGACGATCCCTACGACGGCGGCAACGACGACTACGATCACGACGACGACGACGACGGCGGCGGCGGCGCGACGACGACGACGATGGCGGCAGCGGCGACGATGGCGACGACGACGGCGGCGGCGACGGCGACGACGACGACGGCGACTGCGGCAGCAGACGATAACGCCGACGATTGCGACGACGGCGTCGTCGACGACGACGTACGACGACGGCGGCGACGGCGACGGCGACGGCGACGGCGGCGAGGACGACGACGACGACCGCGGCGGCAACGACGACTACGATCACTACGACGACGACGACGACGACGACGGCGGCGGCGCGGCGACGACGACGATGGTGGCGGCGACGACGATGGCGACGACGACGACGGCGGCGGTGGCGACGGCGACGACGACGACTGCGACTGCGGCAGCAGACGATACCACCGACGACGACGACGGCGTCGTCGACGACGACGTACGACGACGACGGCCACGGCGACGGCGGCGACGGCGATGGCGACGGCGATGGCGACGGCGACGTCGACGGCGACGGCGACGGCGACGACGACGGCGATGATGGCGATACGACGGCGGCGACGACGACGACGACGCCCGCAGCGGCCGCGGCGGCCGAAGCGGCGCCCAGGCCTGCGCCGCCTTCGGCGCCCGGGTCGCCCGCGTGCCCCGCGAGGGCGGGCGGGCTCCGCCGCTGCCCGATCTGACGGAGGGGACGGCGTCGGGCGCCCGCCGCCGTCGTCGTCGTCGTCGTCGTCGGCGGCGGCGGCGGCGGCGGTGGTGGCGGCAGTGGCGGCGCCGTCGCTGTCGTCGTCGCTGTCGTCGTCGTCGTCGTCGTCGGTGCCGTCGTCGTCGTCGTGATCGTCCTCCCCCCTCCTCCTTCAGCTCTCCCTCAATCACTCTTGAACCCTCCTCCGGATCCCACCTCCACCTCCTCTCCGTCCTCCTGCTCCTTCACCCCCCACTCCTATTAATTCATATATCCTCCCTGTCGCACCCCCTCGCGTGTCGGTAGGGAGGGCCGGGCGTTTCGCTTGAGGCTTCGTACCGCTCATGCACCTTAAGCTTGAACTTTGCAACAGTTTCACGGATGGATGGCGGGCCGTTTTCTACATGTGGCTCTCGTTCTAGCGCCGCGCAGTTTCACGGATGGAGGGCGGGTCCTTTTCTAGATGTGGCCCTCGCTTTGTCTCGCTCATGCGTTTCGATATTTCGCAGCAGGTTCAAGGATGGAAGGCGGTTCGTTTTCAAAAGGTGGTTCTCGCCTTAGCGTCACGCACATTCGTTTAAACAACATGCATCAGGTTCAAGGATGGAGGGTGGTCTTTTTCAACGCGTTTCTCTTGCCTCAGCGTCGCGCGCATTCGTCTTAAACATTTGCAGCACATGCAAGGGTTCGTATGGTTGAAAACCCAGGAAAAGTGTTCTCAGGCATCGAAATCTATTCATTTCCACTACTCCCTGGCCAGACCACTCCTGATACGCTCTCCCGGCCAAGTCAGGAGGGCGTGGCATATACACCGCTGCTGGGTTCAGGATGGGGCCTGGCCAGGGATCAGTGGATATGTATAGATTTCGTCGCCCCATGTTCTGGCACGATTCAGGGTCGTCAGGACGCGACGGTCACGTCGCTTCGCGGTGGTGAAGCCCCAGGAGAGGTCGCACGCGGGAGGTCTGGGCGCCGCCGCCGCTGCCTGAGCTGACGGAGGGCGCCGGGCGTCGTTGCCGCGGCCGTTGTCGTCGTCGCGATCGTCGTCGCGATCGTCGTCGCAATCGTCGGCCTCCTCGAGGGGGCGGGGTCGGGCCTCCACGGCTGGCTCTCGGTCGCCCCAGGAGGGGGCGAGGGGAGGGGGAGGGTGGGAGGGAGGGAGGGAACGAGGGAGGGAGGAGGGAGGGGTGAGCAGGGAGGGAGGGGAGGGAGGGAGGAGGGAGGGGGGAGGGAGGAGGAGGAGAGGAGGGAGGAAAGGGAAGAGGGAGACAGGTAGGGGGGGAGGAAAGGAGGGAGGAGAGGAGGGAGGGAGCGGGAGGGATGAGGGAGGGAGAGGGAGGGGAGGGAAGGGTATGAATGGAGAGAGAGGGAGGGGCGGGGACGCAGGGGAGGAAGGGGAGAAGGAGGAGGAGGAGGAGAGGAGGGAGGAGGAGGAAAGAGGAGGATGGGAGGGAGGGGGAGGGAGGGAGGAGGAGAGGAGGGAGGGAGGGGAGACGCGAGGAGGGAGAGAGGGGGTGAGGATGGAGGAGGGAAGAGGATCGGACGAATGATGCAGATGATGATGATGATGATGATGATAGATGATGATGATGATGATGATGATGATGAGATGATGATTATGATGATGATGATGATGATGATGATGATGATGATCGATGATGAGTGATGAGGAAGATGGATGCTGATGATGATGATGCTGATGATTGATGATGATGATGATGATGATGATGATGATGATGATGATGATGATGATGATGATGATGATGATGATGATGATGATGATGATGATGATGATGATGATGATGATGATGATGATGATGATGATGATGATGATGATGATGATGATGGGAGGGAGGGAGGGAGGGAGGGAGGGAGGGAGGGAGGGAGGGAGGGAGGGCCCGTGTGCAGCTGCGTGTTCCGTTTCTGGGACCTCCTGGCCTCCTGGCCGGTTCGTAGCCGGCGGTATGTGCCCGTTCGTGGTCGCGCTTGGTCGTTCCAGGGCCCGTCTGTGGCCCCCGAGCTTGTCCGCGGGAACTCGTTCCCCATCTTCCCCTGGGAGCCCGAGGCCGCAGCACCGCAGACGAAGGACTGCATGCTCCGAGTGTGCCCCCTTCCTCCCCGTTTGTTGTTGAAAGCAACGCACATGCTCCTCAAAGTTGAAAGAAGAGAGTAGCCTCAGCCAGGAACGCACTAAGGGGGCTCAAATGCCCTTGTAGTCCATACCAACGGAATAAGTTCGTCAATGTCAACTGACACCCCGTTTTTGTCGGGGTGGAGGCCTTTACAGAGACGGCGTATGTTCTTCACACCCGTCACCGTGGGGGGACCGCATTTACGACCCAGGCCGATGACTTGAACTCCGCTGCTATAAAACTTTCTCGACGTGCACAGGAACAGGTGAGACTTGTCAGAGCAGGGGAACGCTAGCACTCGAACCCCTTGGTCCAGGGACGAAGCTCCCGGGCATTATCCACCAGAGGGCCTTGCGGACAGGCGGACGCCGCGCAAACGCACCATGTCCACAGAGAGCCCCGCTGCTCCCAAGTGTGGGCGAGCTCTAGAAATGGGGGACGAGGGATGGGACGCTAGGAAACGCTGCAAACCTCGAAACTCCAACTTGCGCCAAAGTGGCATGAGCTCCCCACTCCAGGGGTTTCCCTGGAACCTTTTTGGAGGAAAATCGTTGTTTGACAGCCCCCCTCGGACTTGACGGACTGCTGGGCCGCCGCGAAGCACGCCTTGATCCCCCACTTGTGCAGCATCGCCTTCTTCGAAAGAGCGTGTTCTACCGCTGCTGGCGGAAAACCCCTCGCCGCCGGCAAACGATGCCCGCTCCTCGGGACAGTTGGAGAATGGTGGGGATGTTGGGACAGTGGTGGGAACGGTGGTGGTGGGGACAGTGATGCGGGGACAGTGGGACAGTGGTGCGGACAGTGGTGGGGACGGTGGTGGTGGGGACAGTGGTGAGGGGACAGCGGGACAGTGGTGGGGACAGTGGGACAGTGGTGCGGACGGTAGTGGTGGGGACATTGGTGAAGCCAGTGGTGAGGACAGTGGTGGGACAGTAGAACAGTGGGGAAAGTGGTGGGGACATTGGGGACAGTGGGACAGTGATGGAGACAGTGGGGACGGTGGGACACCACAGTGGGACAGCGGCGGGGACAGTGGGACAGTGGTGGGAACAGTGGGGACAGTGGGACAGTGGTGGGGACCGTGGGGGAAGTGGGGAGAGTGGGATTGTGGTGGGACAGTGGTGGGGAGAGTGGGGACAGTGAGACACTGGTGGGGGCACTGGTGGGGACAGCGGGGACAATGGTGGGAACAGTGGGGACAGTAGTGGGGACGGTGGTGGTGGGGACAGTTGTGTGGGGACGGTGGGAATGTGGTGGAAACAGTGGGACAGTGGAGGGTACAGTGGGGGTGGCGCAGTGGTGAGGGCGGTGGCGAGGACGGCGGTGGGATAATGGGACAGAGGTGCAGTAGGGACAGTGGTGGGGACAGTGGGGACAGTGGTGGGAACAGTGGGACAGCTCAGTGGGACAGCGGCGGGGACAGTGGGACAGTGGGACACTGGGGACTCCGACGCCGGGGCTCGCCGCCGAAGTTTCTCCCAGAGCGTATGGGCCTGGCGGCCGCGCGGTGGGGGGCCCAGGCGGTCCAGTGCGGCGCCGCGGCTGGTGCGGAGCCCGCGCGGGCTCCGCCGCGGCGGAGAGAAGCGCGCCCGCCGCGCGGCGCCGCCGTGCCGGCAGGGGCGAAGGCCCGGGCAGCGGCCCTTCGGCGGCCCTCAGCGGTCCAGGGGTGCCTTCGGCGGCAGCGGCGACGGCGACCGAGGAGGAGGAGGAGGAGGAGGAGGAGGAGGAGGAGGAGGAGGAGGAGGAGGAGGAAGGAGGAGGAAGGAGCAGGTGGAAGGAGGAAGGAGCAGGTGGAGGCGGTGGTGGCGGATGACGAGGAGAAGGATCAGCAGCAGTGGCAGCAGCAGCAGCAGCAGCAGCAGCCGCAGCAGCAGCAGGAGCAGGAGCAGGAGGAGGTGGAGGAGGAGGAGATAGAGGATGATGATGAGGAGGAGGAGGAGGAGGAGAAGGAGGACGGGGGTGGCTCCTCGTCGTGGCTCTCTTGGGAGGAGGGGGACGACGAAGGTTAGGAGCAGTAATTCCCAACCATTCTGTGGTGTTGGGTCCTCGTTTTTAAGAGACGGTCCCCGCTTTCACTCCTCCCGCTGCCCCCTCCCTCCTCCTCCGCTGCCCCCTCCCTCCTCCCTCCTTCCCCGCATCGCCTATGCCTTCCGCGTGTCTTTGTTTCGGCGCGCCCCTCACACGTTTCGTGGCCCCACAGGGGGCCCCACGGAAGGCCCAAATGCCAGCGTTCGCATGCGGCCACCACGCCCATTTTGGCACGCCCCTCCTTCGCTTCGTGGCTCCATAAAGAGCCCCACGGAAGGCCCAAATGCCAGCGTTCGCAGGCGGCCACCGCACCCATTTGGGCACACCTCTCACACGTTTCGTGGCCCCACAGGGAGGGAGCTTTACCAGAAGCCCAACTGCCAGCGTTCGCATGCGCCCACCGCACCCATTCGGGCACACATCTCACACGTTTCGTGGTCCCACAGGGAGCCCCACGGAAGGCCCAAATGCCAGCGTTCGCAGGCGGCCACCGCACCCATTTTGGGACACCATCCACACGTTTCGTGGCCCCATAGGGGGCCCCACCAGAAGCTCAAATGCTTGCGTTCGCAGGCGGCCACCGCACCCATTTTGGCGCGCCCCTCGTTCGCTTCGTGGCTCCATAGGGAGCCCCACGGAAGGCCCAAATGCCAGCGTTCGCATGCGCTAGCCCCACCCATTGTGGCACGCCCCTCGCACGTTTCGGGGACCCATAGGGGGCCCCACCGAAGGCCCAAATGCCTGCGTTCGCAGGCGGCCATCGCACCCATTTGGGCACACCTCTCACACGTTTCGGGCTCCCATAGGGAGCCCCACCGAAGGCCCAAATGCCAGCGTTCGCATGCGGCCACCGCACCAATTTGGGCACGCCCCTCGTACGTTTCATGGCCCCATGTAGAGCCCCACAGACAGCTCAAATGCCAGCGTTCGCATGCGCCCACTGCGCCCATTTTGGCACATCCCTTACACGCTTCGCGGCCTCATAGGGAGTTCCACCGAGGGCGGTGCATACAACGGCTGCACCCGCAACTGCATCTGGTTGGGTTCTTCGCCAGGCTGATTGTTTTTGATGTCTTCTCCCCTTTTTGGACCGGTTTCCGTCAGGGTTTGCGTTTCCCACAATTCAACAATTTGAAAAGAGCGAATTATGGGAAACGCAACACCGGACGATTGCCCCAAGGACACATTGCGCGGGAAACGCGTTTCCCATAATTCAAATTCCGATTCTCGGAATTCCGAATTATGGGAAACGCAATTTTCCCCCCAAAACAACACTCAATGAGCCACAATCGCGTTTCCCTTAATTCCGAATTCCGAGACTTCGAATTCTGAATTATGGGAAACGCAACTTTCCTCAACAAAAGCCGCGCTCGATGAACCACATTTTGCGTTTCCCATAATTCGGAATCATGGGAAACGCAATTGTGGCTCATTGAATGTTGTTTTCTCAGGAAAATTGCGTTTCCCATACTTCGGAATTCGACCTGCTTTTTGTTCCCCCTCTTTCTTGAACTTCGATTTTTCCTCCGACCCACCCTTCCCCACCACCCAAGACGACTCTATGCGTCGAGCGGTCACTCCATTTTCGCTGTCGGGATCTGCTCCCCTCCACCTTTCCCAGCCGAGAAGTCCGATGCCCCTTTACCCCCCCTCCCTGCGCCTCCTACCTTCCTGTCTTCTCTCCTCACCCCCTCCCCCTCTCCACCTCCTCTTTTTCTCATACTCCCTCCTCTCTCGCTCCTCTCCCTCGTCCATCCTCCCATCCCTCCTCCTCTCCTCCCTCCTCTCCGCCCTCCCTCCTCCTCTCCTCCCAATTGTCCTCCTCCTCCTCCTCCTCCTTTCCTCCCCTCCTCTCCTCCTCCTCCTCCTCCTCCTCCTCCTCCTCCCCCTCCTGCTCCTCATCCTCCTCCTACCTATGGTAGTGGTGGTGGAAAATCGGCCCACCAGCTCCAGGCTCGTGGACCAAGCTCTTCGTCCAATCCTGCCCCCTGCCCACCGGCGCTTCCAGAGCTGCAGGCCCCGGCACGGAAGAAGCCTCGATGTCAGAGAGCCCGCGCCAGGCAAGCCCAGACAAACACGAGGATCACAGGAAGGGGGGCTGAGCCTGCGCGCGCGGGCGGGGAGCGAAGCGTCTCACAGGATCACCAGCTGACCAGGGCAGGCCCCATCAGTGGAGAAACTGCTACACTTTGCTTCCTGGCCCGGTTGGCCCAACTCCGCGAAGGCGCTGGCGGGCTGCCCTACGGTGATTACCGCCTAGCGTGCGCCGAGTGGCGGCAACGGACAGGCGGCTGCACTTGCAGAAAGAAGGAGTGCACGACAGCCATGCGCGTACAGCGCCGCTGGAAGCCCGCTCGAGGGCCCAGGGGCAGAGAGGAGCAGCAACGAGGGCCGAAGCAGTGCCGCCGGCGCCAGCGCCCAGCTGGACGGCACGGAAGACCACAGCAGAAAGGCAAAGAAGGCGACGCCCGAGGACCGCACTGCCGGACACACGCACAAAGGCACAATAAAAACGGCCACCACGGCCGCGGCCACCACGGCCACGGCCACCACGGCCACCACGGCCACGGCCACCACGGCCACGGCCACCGCGGCCACGGCCACCGCGGCCACGGCCACCACGACCACTGCCACCACGGCCACATGCCGACCCTTTGCGCAGGGAAGCGGCCGCAGGCCCGGGAGCCGCTTTGTGCTCACGCACAGACGCTCCTCGGGGCAGACCTCGGCAGAAAGGCGGTGGCCGCTCTCGGGCGAAGCGCGGGCGAGTTCACCACAGGGAGGGAGGAGGAGGAGGAGGAGGAGGAGGAGGAGGAAGAGGAGGAGGAGGAGGAGGAGAAAGAAGAGCGCGGGAAGGGGGGTGATGGTGAGGGGTATGAAAAGGGGGAAGGAGAGGAGGATGCAGGGGGCGGGAAGCAGGCCAGAGAAGGAAGGAGGGAAAGGGCGAGGACCTGCTGCTTCCTGGCGCAGGGCACAGGAAGGAGTGGGAAGATCAAGGCATGACCATTTTGGTGAGCATGGGCTCAGGTCACGACCCTGGCCACGTCTCA